GGTGTGGCTTGGAAGAGGCTGAAGTTTTCAGGAATGCAGTCCATTCAGGTTAGAAGAAGAGAAGGGTGTAAGAAGATATTAGGAGAGTGTGTCTGTACTGGGGGAGTGCCATTCACACTTCCCTTGTCTGTGGAATACATAAGCTTCTGGGACTCTCAGAGCAATGGGGGTTACTTCTTGGTGAGACGGGGTAGTAGGGACATGTGCCTGATGAGTCCACCAGAGTAGATGGTACCCATCCTTTATCCATCCATCCAACCATCTAGCCACTCACCCATCCTCCCTTGCTCCCTCCTTCCTTCCATTTTTTCATTCATCCATTTTTGATTAGCAGTACCTGTGGAATGTCTGCACTCACAACACACCATGCTAGGTGCTGAGGAAGTGAAGAATAGGACCTGGTCTCCCCTCCTGGCGTTCACAGCCCGGGAGAGACACAGCCGCGTAGAGCGGCGATGACAGGCAGGGTGAGGAGCCTCTAAGATCGGTGAGCCCAGGGTTCCCCGATGGAAGGAGAGGCCTTCTAGTCAGATTCTGAAGGGGGGGGAAGGCTCTTGCGGGGAGGCATGATTTAAGCTGAGTCCTGCAGGATGAGCACATCATGGCACCATTCGTCTCTCAGTGGCGCTTCCGGCATAAGTCCCCTTCCTGCCCCAGTGGAAGGCAAGTCCCTCTCCAGGGTTTGGGTCCCCTCTCAGCCCACATCCAGGCTGGGGGAACTTAACCTGCCTTGTTCGTATTCCCTATCATCTCCAACCTTTCTTTCTCTGCTATTCTTCTCCCTGCTGTATAGAGACATATTCAAATCTCTTTCATCTTAAAATTTTAATACAGTGATAATAAAACCCCTGTCTTGACCCTAATCCAGAGATAACTGCCACCTTATGTTCTTCTGTTCACGCTGAGCGTCTGGAAATGGAAGCCTGTCCGTACTGTCACCGTTCCCCCTTCAAACATGGGCAGGCAGGCTTCCTCCCCCAGGGACAGTTTCTTCCTGTCCCCGAAGCTTCCCCGAGCAGTGATCTCAGTGTCCCTCTCCGGCCAGTGGATGCATGCTTCTCAGACCTTTGCTTAGCTGACCCGTGGATGACGCCTGACGCTGCTGCCCGTTTCTTCTTTCCTGAAACACTTTTCCTTGCTTCAGCGACACCAGTCAGGTCTTCATTCTCGATGGCCCTGTGGGGGCCTCTGGTTTAGTGATGTGTCCTCAGCTTCTCCCCGTCTCTCACTGTATTCGTTCCCAGGAAGGCACCCACCCATGCCTTTAACTGCTGCCTATGTTTCAGCCTCAGCTGTCCAGCCGATCACCAGACATCTCTGCCTGGGCATCCCTGAGAACTCACACTCTCTGCACCCCGCACTGCACTTGTCAGCGTTCTCCCAGGCCCACTCTTCACCTTGTCACATCAACGTGAGTGCACAGCACCACATGTACTCCATCATGGACGTCAGAACCTGGGGCTGTCCCAGGCGCCCCTCTTTTCACTCATTCCGCTTACCTGATCCGCCATCCAGTCGGTCACCAGGTCGTGTGATTCTGTGTCCTTAATGTCCCTTGCGGTCGTCTCTACTCCATTGCCTCTGCCTTATTTCCCACTCATCATTTCTCACCCTGATGACGGCAATAGCCTTGCAATTCCACAGTTCTCCAACGCTGGCCCTCAGGCAGGAGCTGCATTTGGAGAGCTCTATAAGCGCCCAGCCCCGGGGCCCGCCCACCCAGAGAGAGCCCGGATGCGAGGGTCTGTCTTTACAAAGCCATGCCCAGGAGCCTGAGGTGCAGCTGGTGGCCTGGAAAGCATTTCTGATGATCTTTGCATCTCCTGCTGGGCCTGTTCTAGCCAGTTCTCCATGTGGGTATGAGAGAGTGTTCAGAAATGCAAATCTCACCCCAGTTATGTCCCTGGTCAAAACTCTCTGTCCACACCTCACTCCCGCCACCCACCCCTGCATCACGTGTGATCTTCTCTAACACGTGCAGCTTTTAGGACCTGCCTCCATCTCTTTTCCTCATCCCCCAGGGTCCCACCTACAACGGGGCCATGGGAGAACCATGTCTTTCCCGCCTCTGTGCCCTCTAACCTGTCCCTACAGTTTCCATCCTCCCTTTGGCTAATGTCTCTCATCCATGAAGATTCAGCTGGTGTGCCCATTCTCCATTGCAGCATTTAGCTTACCCTTCGGTGGCCACGCACTGAGGCACCTGTGCCCCTCCTGATGCTATTAGAGTACACAGGTTCTCTTTGACTTACAGGGTGTGTGAGAGAATGACTTCACATACAGACCACCTGAAATGTCCACACCGTGGGGCTTCGTAAGTCTATGCCATGACGGTTTTGGGGCTGTGATGGAGTTAGGAATTCTGCTGCCAGTTTTGCCACCTCAACACCATAACAGATATACGTTGAAAGGGCCCACCCTGAAACTACTAGACTCAATGATATTGTTGGCATTTGTCACTTAGGAAGCACTTGACAATCTACAGTATTTTTCTTTGAAATAAAAACTTGAAGCCATCCCTTAATGACTTCCCAGGACGTTATTGTCCCCTCCCCTGCTGCTGTCAATCATCCCTCTGCCCAGCTGGAACATGGCCAGTGTGAACACTCTCTACAGAGCTACTGCCACATGTCATAGGAGGGCAAGAAAGCTGGTTGATGGTTCATAGAAGCGTCCTCTGTTTCACTTATATGTGGAATCTAAAACAAAGCAAAACAAATGAACAAACAAAACAATACAGAAACAGACTCATAGATACAGGGAAAAGAACTGATGGGTGCCAGAGGGGAGGGTATGGTGGTGATAGGTAAAAACAGTGAAGGGGACTAGGAGGCACAAACCTCTCGTTATAAAAGAAATACATCACGGGGATGTAATGTACAGCCCGGGGAATATAGTCAATGATATCATAATAACTTTGCACAGTGACAGATGGTTACTAGGCTTCTCGTGGTGATTACATTGTAAGGTATATAAATGTCGAATTGCTGTGTTGTACACCTGAAATTAATATAATGGTGCATGCCGACTATAATGATAAAAAAAGCATCCTCTGTGTAATAAAATATCAGCCTGCTCCTACTCAAAGGTGTGGTAGTCAGATGCACCTGCTGTCTGCTCCTCCCACCCCCCTCCTTCGCTTTCTGCTCACTCCACATGCCTCATGACCTCCGCACAGAGTGTACCTGAACCATGACCTCTGGACATCCCAGTACTGTGGATTCAGCACAGTGGCACTGGCAGAATGTCCAGGGTCATGGGGCTAATTGGGGAGGGCAGCAAGTGAGTCTCACGTGAGACTCCCTTACAAGTTGAGGTGGGGGAGTCACCTACCAGCTGAGGACATTTTGCAAACTCAGTATGTTAGAGAGGATCCGATATCTGATGAGTCCGCTATGTGGGCATCACCTGGAAACCAGGTAAATCCTCCAAGAGCCCCAGTGATGCTGTCTTTGGGGTTTGTGTTGGAATTTTATAGGATAGCGCTGGCTGTTCCTGCCCCTCTGCCGTGTTCAGCCCCACCTGGCACCAGCAGCTGTGCTGAAGGTGAGGGTGGATGGGCACACCAAACCCCGTCTAGATGGAGCTATGCGTATCTGTTCTTGGTACCTACTCAATGAGGATTTGTCAATGGATTTTATAAGGAAATGGAGTAGAAAGCCTTCGTGGAACTGAGGGGTACGCGTACGTTGCTTCCCTTTGAGGGTACATCCAGACGTTGTGCTTACAGAGCACCCCTTCCTTATCCGTGGCTTCCCCAACCAGCCCATGGCAGCCATGTTTGTTTCAAGGATCTGCCTTCACCCGAGCCGTCTGGGCAACTACCTCACCCCGACCTCCAGCCAGTTGACAAGGGGACCTGGAACTGAAATATCTTACACCCTTGTGCCCTCCTTGCCATCTCCAGCACTCTCATGCCCTTTCAAGCCCATCACCACCTACACCTCCCCCTCCCACCCACCCCCACTGCCTGGTCTCCTAACTGAGCTTCTGGGCTCTCTCTGCTTCAGTTTGTCCCTGAAGCTGCCATCCTGTCGGCCTCCCTGTGCCCACTGCCCTGCCCCCCTGGCTTCGCACTTGCCTCCTTGCTCACCCTGGCTTCCTAGGGTCACCCTAATTAATATCTCTCCAGCTCTCTTTTCCAACCGTTTATTCATGAAGCAAACATTTATGGAGCGTTTCCTCTGCAGGACATTGTGAGAGATTCTGGGGATACAGAGATGAAAAAGTCACAAGACCTGTCCTTGAAGGGCTCACAGCCTGCTGAGAGGCAGCCATTCTCCAAAGAACTCAATACAGGGCTGTGTTCACATTACAGTGTGGGACACACAGGGGCTGGGTAGAGGAGTGTAGGGTTAAGGGAGGCATCCCAGAGGATGAACTTGAGCGAGGCCTGGCAGATGAGGGTGAGGGGTAGGGGCAGAGGCAGGGGAAGGTGGGTGCTCCCAGCACACCTCTTCCGCACACCCTGTATAACTCGCATGACTACTTGCTACGCCCCAAACATGGCTGCTGTCTCCAGCCCCAGCCATCACTTATGCCATTCCCATTAGAACGTTATTCATGCCTCCCTCCACAAAGTTAGTTCTGTCTGTTGAAATCTTACCCATCCTTCAAGGCCAGGCTCGCATTCCTTCTTCCCCCTTGACCTTTGGGACCCCTTCTTCCTCCTAAGCTCTCTTCAGCATTTTGTACTTGGGTTTCGCACTTAACCATCTTGTATGCCTTTTGTTGTTGACTTTGCCTCCTCTCCCTACCCTTATGACCTCCCTGAAGGGCTAACCTGGCCATAGAATTCAAAGCTCTAAAGAACACTGTTCTAAGAGAAAAGCAAAAAGCCATGTGAACATGTGCACTAGGATGCTTATATTCTTGGCTGCTTGGTTGGTATAGTTGGGTGGTCCATGGCGTTGGACAGTATACAGTATCTGCCATTTATCTAGGAAGACCCTTGGCATGAGAATGTATTCAGAGGCACCTTTTCTTCTCTGTCACTATAGGATTCGATGACCTTCAGGTGTGTGCTGATCCAGGCGTCCCCGAGAATGGCTTCAGGACGCCCAGTGGAGGGGTGTTCTTTGAAAGCTCTGTCACCCGATTTCATTGCCAAGATGGATTCAAGTTGAAGGGTTCTACAAAGAGACTGTGTATGAAGCACTTTAATGGAACCTTAGGCTGGATCCCAAGCGATAAACCTGTCTGCGTGCAAGAAGGTAAAGTGCTGAGACCCAATCCCCTCCCCTTCCGTGGAAGCTGCTATGGCCACAGGGGTGCAGGGCTGTGTGTGCTTCAGGGATCAGTTCCCTGGGCTGCTGTCTCTGTTTCCAGACTAGACGTACACGCTGAGGGGCCAGCACGCGTGTGTCAGGAGGGCGGGAGTAGCGGATACATTCATCTCAGCATTAGAAGTAATTGTCTTCCTTCTCTATCTCCATTACAATCCAATTTATCACCATTTTTGTCAATGCAAGAGAGCAATCAGATAACATTAGGGCTCTTTATTATTGGGCTGCCAACTCCACGCTCATTTCCATGTTACTCAATAAAAAGGCTCAGTAAATATATTGGGTGAAAACTATATATAATGATACAGGCAATGCCTGTTACTCAGAGGATTAAATCAATTGCTACTCATCAGTTCTCGGTTAGACGTGGTTCATTTAAGGAAAGAAAGAACTGGCAACCAAAGACAGATTGACAAGGTAGACATTTGTTTCTAACAATTATCCCTAAATTTATTGGTCATGACAAGATATCCTTTTACTTTTAGCAATTATCTGTAAATCAGCTGGTTGAAACAACTTTATATACATATACATATATATATATATATATATATATATTTAAATATATGTATTTGTTTTTACTATTTGTTGATACTTTTAGAGTTTAAAAGAATGCATTGAGTTTAACTAATTGGAATGCCAAATTGTTGAATATTTATCTCCAAGTTTCAGCAAGGCTGAAGTAGGAATAAGTGTGAATCAAGAATTAATTCTGGCCCCAAATTTCCGTGAGGCATAGAATTGAGTTCATTAGAAATGAGTTTCAGTTTCTCTTTAATATCATTACTGATTTTATTTTGGGATGAAGCTTTTATAATAATGGCATGTAAACTACTATTCTGATTTAATATGTATCTTCTTTACAAAACTTAAAATCATTTAATTTGACAAGCATCTATTATGATTCTCCTTATGGAAATCTTAAAGGATGGATAAGATGGTGTCTTCCCCTTAAAATATTTGCTATCTTTACCTTTATTTTCAAGGTATTTTTTAAGCCAAAATTAATATAAAGAATTAAGATTTTTTAAAATTAATTCATTTTTCCCCGTCTCACATGCAGTCCATGCAAGCTGGGGTTCCCATAAGATTCCATTAATTAAAAGTTTATTTGTATCTATACACTTCCCTGCCAAAACTTATGGCTGCAGATACCCAGTGCTTAAAACCCAGACAAGCTTCAAGAACATCAGAGAACCAAGAAAACCAACAAGCTTCCTGAATATTGGCCAGAGATGAAAGCCCTCTTTTATTTTACCATCCTAAGGGGGTGGGGGTGGGGAGTTTACCCCTTTTTGGATGAGCTTTTTCTAACCCTGTACATAGCTAACTAATATATAGTAATTCCAAGAAAGAGAGTGAAAAATCACCTTGGAGTGGGGGGCTTCGTATAGTCTCCGTGCATAATTAACATTTAGCCCCGAATGTTTGGGTAGGGGCTGTGTAAGTGGGGATAGCAGTGGAATGTCAGCTCTTTCATGATGCAACCTAAAATAAGACCATGTGTTTCCAAAGTGGAGGGGTCCAGGACCCTGCATTCCAGTCATGATATTGTGCTTTAACCATCACTTTTAGCAGGTTTGGAAGAACAGGCACTGCCTTTCTAAGTATGATATGATGGTGTTTTGATTTTTAATATTAATGCTCATTTTGTTGGTCTTTTAAAGATCTGTATAAAGAGTGCTTTTGGTGCCCTGATGGTGGAGAAAAATCACCATTGTTCATGTCCTAAGAAGCCTTCTTTATTTTAAGTGGTTTATGGAGGGCAGGTTATACCGTGGGTGTTATGCAGCAGAGAAGGTCACCGTTTTCTTCCCCCCCCCGGTTTATAAATGACCTTTTCTCGCTGATCAGGATTTATGCTGGGCGGATAAGAAGGGCTGCTGGATTCATTTGTTTCCCTTTGTCAGGTAATTCTCGGAAGGTTAATGAATTGTTGCGTGGTGGTACTAGTAATAACAATAATAAGTTATCTCATTCTCATAGGTCAGTACAGTTTAGCGTTTCATATTTACTATCTCATTTAACATGCACAACCACCCTCCAGGATGAATCTTATTGTCCTCGTTTTCAGATGAGGAAACTGAGGCTCAGAGATGTTCACTTACTTTGTCAACGTCACACAGCTGGTGCATAAGCAGCAGAGCTGGAACTAATTCTAAGCCAGCATTTTTTTTTCCCTACAAGGTTATGTCTAACCTTTTTTTGTGTCACAAAAGCCCCACTCTGATCAGTTACACGACAGCACAATGTTACAGTAAATGGCATCATTGAAGTTCAGGGATGAGGGGACTCATAGAAATCATATAGTCCAAGCCCTCATTCTGGTTTTTGTTTGACCAATAGAGAAACTGAGTCTTGGAGAAGAGCCTTCCCGGAGTTAAATGGCAACTTTGCGACAGACCTGTTCAGCCCCAGGTTCCCTCACTGTCAGCTGGACTCCCTGTAGTCTTTCACACTGTCAGCCCGTTCTGCCTAAGATGCAGATTTTTAAAAAAGAAATTCACATGCATTAAAACGCCTTATAACAGTAAAGGCTCTGCTGAAGTAAGGTGCTCATTTTCTTGTGCATTCTACAGGTTCCCTCTCTTTTATTCTCTACTTCACTCTGCCACACATCCCAGACATCTCTCTTCTCCCATGACCCCTTTATTCGAATCCAAATGGTTTTTTCCAAGTAAGCTCAATGTCTAGAAGTTGGGACTTACAGAACTGATAACACAGGCAATGAATTAATTCCTGACACCCAAAGCCCCAGCCTAGAGAATGCATAGAGATGTCTGTAAGACTACAGCTGCCACATCTCTAAGCAGGGGTCAGAATGTTTATGGTCCAGGGAGCAGGGGAGGTGACGAGCGTGGTGGAGAAGAGGGCCTGGAGTTGGCAAAGGCTTGAAAATATGTCCCATGGGCACAGGGCTGCTGACATAGTAAGTACAGTGACTAAAGGCCAGGGTGACAGTCACCATCTGGGCCTCTTCCTTTCCAAAGCCACTCAACTAGGTCTTTGTGGGGGACACTGTTCCTGGGACACAGCCCTTTCCCACATTTCATTAGAAAAGGTCGAGGTGAAATAAGATTGACTTTATATAAATTCACTTTACAAACAGCACACATCACATCAGGGCATGAAAAGATGCTATCCCAGCCTACAGTCCTTAATAGTGGCAGGGATGGCATTGTGGTGACTCAGACTATGGTTTGCACCAATAAAGAAGTAGTACTTTAAAAAAATAAATATCCCAAAGTGACTCAAATAAAATAAATTCAAATCCATTTGTATTATGAACAAATATCGTGGGGGAGGGGCAGAGAAGCATCAGCCTAGGTCATGCCAAAACCTATTTATTATCAATATTCATGGCACGATTTCGTTCCTTAACTATCCCTTGGTACCGCTGAGATGCAGAACACATCTTATGGCATTGGTGATACTACCCAAACAGAAGTTTGTTTTTTTTTTTTTAAGAGAACTAAACCCACCATGGTGCATAGTTCCTAGGTAGGGCGAGGGCCTCCCTTAGATTCTGAGACAATGTTCTGCAGCATACAGGTTCCTCCTCCCTTAGGATTCTCATTGCTGGGGAGGGCGTTGGGGATATTTTTAAAGGTCATACCTCTCTAGCTGCAACTTCAGCTTTTGGGTGGATTCAGGGTGTCCCTTGAACACTTTTGGGTGTAGACAATCTGCTCCTTGTGTAGAAACACTTTTTCTTTTCTTATTTGAGTTTCCTCTTCTGGAGTTTGGGCTTGTGGAGGGAGAGGAAGACTAGATTAGAGCTGCTACAGGCTTCCGTTTTCCTGCCATGGGGTCTTAATATTGGAGCACTTTTCTCACGGAGCTCTACTCTACGAGGCGGAGGAGAACTTGCTGTTTTCTCCTCACCTTCTGCCTTGAGCAGCCCTGTGAATAGTCAGTGGTCATATCGGTTACTCCTTGCAACTCAGCTTCAGAACAGTCCATGCTAAGCCAATAAAAAAAGGATATTGGTGAGGCTAGAGTTGCACGGGTCTCACACACAGCTTGTTTAAGCCCGAGTCTTCCGATTCCAGACCAGCTTAGGACCAGCTGTGATGCTGTTCTGAACAAGCCCAGCGTAACGCCATCGGGAGAGCTTAGATGCGCCTCCTCCACAGAGCGCGTGGTTTGAGAAGGAATTGACTGAGCAGGGGGCTTTTTCAGGAAACCCTTCCTCTAATTGGCTGTCAATTCCTTTTGAACTAGAGAGGAGCGGAAGACCAAGTAGGAGACAAAAGGGTCGTGTAAATCACCCATGTAATGTACCCCACAAAGCACTGCCCTGTCAGAATAGCCCCCCTCGCCTTGAGATGGCTTTTCCCTCTCTGAGAATGACCCCACCGGCATAGTCCCTTGCTTGACACCCGGTAAGACCTGCAGCCCCACGGGAGTAGCCTGGGAGCAGGGAAACGTGATTGGAACCCATGAGCTTTGCCTGACACCCCAAAGAACCACCTCATCCAACCTTTCAATGCTTCCGGGAAAAAGAGCCCTCTCAATCTGAAAGGGATGAGTGGGTACAAATGACACGCTACAGCCATGGCGTGTGTGGTGATCAGCTCCACACACTAGCCGTTACCATTTATCACCTGCATGTCTGAGCCGGCAGCCCTCACACGCGAGACAGACAAGGGAGGCCCAGCACATTGGCAGCTGTTTCCGGTGGCTGTTTCCCGGCCTGTCTTCTTTTGTCACTTGGCTGTTGGTCTGATGGGGCCCATCTACCGCTGTCTTCACCTGGTACCCCCTTTAGACAGGTGATCTGGTTAAGATTTGCATCCCTCAGGCGGACTTTTGTTCACAAATACTCACACTAAATTCCTTCAAGAGTTGCTCATTTTTTTTTATTTTCCTGGCCTTTCCTTTGGCTGCTTTTCATCACATTGGGGTTCTAGGTACAGTCGGCTCCA